GCAGCCTTATGAAATTTCCCCTTGTGGGACTAATAAAGGTATATCAATTCAATTCAAATCAAACCTCAAGCCTATTAAGAAAGATATTATGGTCAACAGTATCAAAGGGAGAACTGAGGTCAAAGAATATGAGTAATGAAAACATTTCTGCATCAGATATCAATAGAAAATCAATGCGAATATTTTAAAAAGCAGTTTCAGTGGAGTGCTGATATTGAAAACCGGATTAAAAATGGTCAAACATCTGTAATCTGCATAGAGATCTAAACTGATTTGCCAGTTTTGTGACCTCAGTGTGTTCAGACTAAACCTAGATTCACATGTTAACATCCAACAATATGTTGAGAATTCGGCTGTGTTTATCACAGGGAAAAAACTTTAGTGAGCAAATATACATAAGCAGACACTTTATAAGCAATGTCACGATGCTACAATACAGAACAGTTTGCTTTTTTGCTTTATACATTTTACATACAGAATAAATGCGCTTTAAATCCTCACCACTGATTTGTGTCATGAAATTACCCTTCAGGTGTCTTTCTGTTGTGTTATTTATTAACACATAAAATAAAAGTCCCTTTAAATTTAGAAAATACTCAAAAACATTGTTTGAATTTGATTATCAGTGGAAATAACTCGGAAGCAGAATTCAACTCAAATCACAGCTTTATTGCTGAATTACAGGAGTCAGGAAGCAAAATAAAATTGAACCCAGGCTGGGAAGCAACTGGGAACGTACTACCCTGGATACACAAAGGACAGCGAGAGGGAAGATGTGACAAAGAACAGAAGCAAACTGAGGGGATAAATTCACAGGAGGAGACTTAGGATTGCATAGAAACTAATGATATACAATATAAACTGAAACCAAGAATAGACTCAATAAAGCTCAATATAATGAAAAACAGTAAGTGCTATAAAAGGACTTAAAACTCAGAACACTGGGTCCTAAACCCAAGACCATGACCCTGTCTATAGTTCTAGCTCTAGCTAGCTATCAAGTGAACTTAAGATATGTGGGCTGTTTTCAGCTTCATGTAGGATTTTAGCGTCCAGCTAGGACCAGCTTATTGGTATACTTACTTTAATACACATATAGCATCTGAAACACAAACAAGCAACTTATTTAATTCCAATTAACTTCAAACGTCAATTTAAATGAAAATGATCACAGTTTATGTATTTAAGCTGCCATGAACAAATCTTAGCTGTTCCTGTCGTACACACATACTGACAAATACTGAAATAACATTTGAATCAATTAAGGTTTCCCACATTGAAAATCCCACCACTCACAGCTGGAACTTCTCCCAACATTAGAAAATCCACAATGCATCTGTAAAGTTGCATTTTAGGCCACGTGGGCTGTGTATTTGATTTAATGGTCAAAGAATCTGCCACAATGCATTGTTTAGAGAAAGCTACTGTAGTTTTTTAAATAAAGCCAACTTACTGTAAAATCATTTTTGCCTTTGCTAGTCAGTGACAGACATTGCCCTACCCCAACTTTTTTTTCTAACATCAAATTCAAAAACTTACTTTTTACTGTTAGCTTCTCACTCCCACAGGTGCTCTGTCATGTTATTATCTTTCCAAAAACACTTGTGCTCTCATTGCTCTGTTCATGCCATTTTTTTTAATTACCGTTGTGTGCCTTAACTAACAACATTCTCAGGTCTCTCTTATTCTCAAATGAATAACCAAGGCCAAAGACTCTACGTGCAGTCTTCCCAATGCAGACAGCATGGTCAAAGCATGTCTACCGCTCAGTGTCCCCCTACAGTTGATATCACCAAGTCTTCCCTGGAGTCAGGAGTCTGGGCCCTGACAACTTTAACAACTACCAAACAGTCCTCAAACTTCACCCTTGGGTTTCCTAATAGGTGCTACACAAATTATTATTATGATGATGATGATGATGATGATGATGATGATGATGATGATGATAAACCCCATCTGAACATGTAGTTATATTCAAATAAGCAGTCAATAGTACTGTAGTTTTACATGTACAGTGGGGAAAAAACCACAAAAAATTAACTTTATCTTTTATGTTTTAGGTACAGTGTTGTCATATAATTTTCACTGTATCTCTATAAAATTGTTAGAAGGATGTAATTATTCAAATATTTTCTTATTTTTGTAAACAAATATGGCTGACCTCCACCAAAAGGTCATGCATTTTTTTTATTGTCCCACAAGGGGAAATTAGTTTAGCAGCAGGATATAAATAAACAGAACAATACTATAAAATAATAATGACAATAATAGTGATAGAAAGTCCAAGGACAGTTATTTGCCATTGAGGAGACAAGATGCAGTGGGGATAAAAGAGACCTGGAGTCTTTTAGTCTTCCTCACAGGTACTCTAAAACGGCGGCCGGAAGGCAACAACTCAAACTCACTGTGAAGTGGATGGTTCAAACAATTAATAATAGAATGAGCCTTTCTAAGCACATTTCTATTGTAAATGGCCAAAAGTCCATCTTGCCAGCGCCCTGAAATTTTGCTAGCAGTTTTTACCAGAAGTCCCAACCGATTCTTATTCTTCACCGTCAGGTTACCAAACCAGGCAGCGATACAAAAAGACATCACAGATTCGATAAAACTTCTATAAAACAAGGACAACATCTCAGATGAGACATTAAAAGATCTCATTTTCCTTAAAAAGAACAGTCTTTGTTGAACTTTTTTAGTAGTGGCATCAGCATGAGATTCAAAACACAGTTTATGGTCAAGTACCACACCTAGATATTTATAACTCTCAATATCGGCAGTTTTAATGATAGTGGGTGATGAGCTATAAGAGGACTTCCTAAAATCAATAATCATGTCTTTAGTTTTTGACACATTAAGTGAAAGGAAGGACTCATCACACCAATTCACAAAATCATCTACAACCTGTCCATGGCCTGACTCATCCCCCACTAGAAGACTGACGATCACTGTGTCGTCAGCAAACTTCAGGATATGTCTGTTCGTGAAATTGCTGCGACACTCATTTGTGTACAGAATGAACAGAAGGGGAGAGAGGCAGCAACCCTAACCCTGAACTGGGGATCAAGACGTCACCAACACGGTGCATTAAGGGACTATTGTTCACACAGGTCCAAATTGTATACATAGAATATTAAAGAGCAGCTATCCCCAAGGTCAAGAAAAGTCAGAAAGCCATCTTAAATCTGCACTCTAATCAAAAAACAAGAGAAAGTGATGTATTTTCTTGGAAATGTTATTTTTTTAAAACTGTCATAAACAACACAGGCTTATAGCTGTATATTGCTAATATAAATTGCTAATGTTTCCCATTCATATGCAAAATGTTAAGACAATTGTGCAACACACCTGCAACTTGAATACCTTACTTTAGTGCAAGAGCTGTAAATTTAGGCGAGAATAAAGAGTAATATAACTAACTAACAACCTCTTATTACAAGTTTTAATTCACTTTTTATGTAAATAGATACATTTCTAAAAAAATTTAACTTAACATGTTAATAATTTCAAACTGAATTTCCCTTGTTACTGCAGTTTACCTGCAGTACCTTTGCAGCCTGGTAATCACTATTATAGAGGTTGCCTTTTGATTTGAAAGTAAAAACCCTTAAAACACTTAGAAACTCTTTATAATGGTGAGCTGTGTTGTAAAATGGCGTAAACATTAGATTACCTCTGTACAGAAGTCTCTGTTCAAAGGCTCCAAGTCTCTGATCCTTGGGGTATAACCACAACAGGTTAACAGAAACTGATTTAAGCCAGTGATGGGGGGGGGATTCGCCCAGCACTCACTACTAAATGCCCACAGTCTGCTAGATGATGGGGACAGACAGATAGTCACATAGCTCTACTTAAAGGACTTTTTGAGTAGATTCACTCACTGAATTCCATCATTATACTCCTTTTGTACTGTCTAAGTGCTGGAAATCAGCCATGATAGCTTGTGTAATATTTGGTTATTTCTTGATGAATTCAGGTGGCTAAATCCGCAAAGAACAACAGCAGAGGCCAGATAATTACAATCTCTACCTGAGATCACTGAAAATATCACAACTTATTTATAGGTATTTCGTTAACCGCTCTTAACACTCTGACTACGCTGGTTTTCTTGTTTAGGTTTGAAGTTAGGTGAAAAATCATATTGACCCAACGGCCTACAACTGCGTCCACCCTGGGCTGGATTACCAGTCCAATCCAGACCACTGATGATTCTTCATATTATCTCAACAAGCTGTTTTACACCAGCTTCTGCTGCCCCCAAGAGGCCAGAAGAAAGAAAAAAGCAAAGATATACATGTAGCCTCATAAATCGTCAGTTTTAACAATTTGTGATATTCTATTTTTTTCTTTTTTTTTCTTTTTAGAAAGATGTGCATCTGAGTTTAAATTAATTTCTGTTGTCCCATCATGTCGATTACAATGTAATATCCTTGAGTTCTTTGCTTAATTATATTCATGAAATGTAATTAAAGTCTTAATGTAACAGACTGACATTTTTAAACAGAGAACACGCACAGACGAGGAGGTTGTTGTGTCAGTGATCTGTTCTGATTCATTATGATTCAGTAACAAATGATGAATGATATAAAATGATAATTAATTTTAACAACAGGATTTTTCAAACAAAAAATGTATTCATAAAGCACAACAATAAGTACAACAGTGTCACCTCTTAGCAGTCCAAACAAATGATTGTACAACTACATTTCTATCCAAAACCGTTAAAATTATTTTTCATTCCTTTCCCAAGACAGAATTAAACAGAAACTACATGTAACGGGCAGGTAAATTGTTTAGGTAAACAAGTAAATAATTTGATTCAAATAATAATGATAATAATGATAATAATAATAATAATAATAATAATAATAATAAAAAATTGGACTTACAAAAGAAGAAACGCTAAGGTAAACGGTGTTTTTAAAACAAGCGAGGCTAATAAGTATAACATCACTTTGTGATCCAGTTCGATTTTCTATTGTAGACGCAAAAAATAACGTAAACACCAAATGTGTTTGTGAATTTTCCCGACTGTTCTTGAACGCAGCGCGTCTCGTCACCCTGACCCGGAGGAACTTCTGTTCAGCTTTATTACCCACAATTCCTTTCTCCGCCTTCCTCTTTCCGTGCTGCAGCAATGTCTAAGAGAGGTATGAGAGTTGCTTTATAAAATCCACCTCCATCTGCTCTTTCTAAGACGAGCTACAGCGTATATAGTTGCTTATGTGTGATAGAGAAGCTAAATCAATGTTTTTGTGGGACTAGTTTTGAAATTATGACAAAAGTTAGCGATTTTATAAAGATCGCGGTTGAGATGGGAATTGAAGGAAGCCATGTTTTTCGTTCAGCGCCATGTATTACTGAAGCGAGAAATGCTAGAGGCGGAAAATGTGTACGAGCTAGTCGCATTTTCTTCCACACACTTTAGCCTTCTGTGTTGTGATAAGGTCTTTGTTTTTAAGTGAGTTATAACGATGCTTCCTGGCCTGAAAGTGTGCCAATGAAGTGAATTTATTTGTGGTGATCAGGGCTAGCCGGGAAAGCTAAGCAGAGCCGGTGCACACCAAGCGTGAATTGTAGATAAATTGGAGCTGCCACATTTGAAACAAACTCTTATTGAGCAAAAGGGAAAATGCGTGAGGTTCAATGTAGTTTTAGCTCTTGGTTACTACTTGTCATTACTCTTAACCCAGTGAATGGAAAATAGGGTTTAAAGTGTTCACGTGTTTTGTAGCTCCGAAATTAAACAGAATTGTAAAAAGTTGTGTATTTGTAATATCCTTAAGGTTAGAAGTTCCTTTAGATTTGGCTTCTCTGAATTTTAACCATCATTGTGTCCTGATCAAAGGTCATATTCATGCTGCGTTATAAGCTTCAGTAAAGCATGCTGTAGCTTGCTGCTTATGTATTACAGTGGGTGTGTAGATTTCTCAAATGTGACATTCGCTTCTAAAATGGGCCTATGTGATGATTAAAGCGCTATCGTAAGTCAGGGATTTCAGTGTCACTAAGTACACAAGGGCACTCATGGTAAATACTTACATTTGAAATATCTTTCCTCTGAGTTTAAATCACAAATGCCCAATTTGTCAGGTAGAAATGATTCTTACTCGGGCATGTTTCTTTTCCTGCAGGACGTGGTGGTTCCTCTGGAGCCAAGTTCCGCATCTCCCTGGGTCTCCCAGTAGGAGCAGTTATCAACTGCGCGGACAACACAGGTAGGTCTGTGGTAACTCGTTGCTGTGTCAGGTTGACTCCTGTTGACTTTTGCTTCTCTTGTTCACCTTTTCTATACAATACGGTCTTAAACTCTTAAGTGATTGAAGGGAATTTAAGATCCAGCCTAAAACTTACTGTTTTTGATGTTGAGCTGTTATCTTTTCACTAAGACCGACCACACCATTCTTCCCTGTATGTGAACTAGTTTATTTGGTGTGCTCCTTCTAGTGTTTGTGATTTTGTTGTTGTAAATAGTTCAAGCTAAAAGTATCACAAAAGGACAAAGTTGGTAAATCTCAGGGGTTTTTTGTTTTGTTTTTTTCTCAAATTTTGGAAGTTATGTGAAACTGCTTAATTTTAACTTGGCTATAGAGAATCATGTGCTGCTCAATGATGAATGTACTGGAAACCTGGATTAATTTCTCTTACTGCTTGGAATGGCGAGAAACCTCCCACTACCTTGGTATTGCCCTGTGTAGAGAAGAAACCCCTTACTCATTATTCCCTGTAACTTCATAGTGTTTTCTTTTTTTTCTTAAAGCAGTTGTTTGCAGAATAATGATCACAAAAGGCTAATAAAACACATTAGCAAATATAATCATTGTAGTCTTTCTGTAGATATTGTTTTAATCCTTGTTGCTTATACCTGCTGATGTTTGCACTGAATAAGTCTGCTTTTGTTGTCCTGGAAGCAGCTTTATCATTAAATATAAGTGACGACTTGGAATACATGGTATCTACCATACTGACTAATGCATATAAATGGATTGAGATTTTTTTATTTAACCTCTGTGTGAAAATTAACATGTAATGTAAAGCATCAGTGTGTCAGGTCTAAGGAGAGAGGTTTTCTGAAAACTAAGATCTCACCCAACATGGTTCTTTTGTTTCCACTTTTTCTAGACAGAATGCTTTTGACCACAAGTTTGATTGTACTTGATTGTACCTGAAGGCTCACCTGACTTAAAATCTATACTCAAAAACATGTTGTTGAAGTTGAACTTGGATTAATATGTAGATTAATGGGCACGATTGGTAGCAGTGTCCAATTAATTTACCTTGGGGGGGTAAAGTAATTAGACACTGAAGGTATGTTGTTTTTTAGAACCAATTTAAAAAGTACTTGGCAGAAAAAGAAACCGTTTCAGAACTTTGAGTAACTGCATCTCACATTATGTGAACCTGGGCATAAACATAGCACTGTTGTTTAAAAGTGAAACTACAGTGGCAGGTAGGGCTGTGCGATATGACCAAAATCTCATATCCCGATATAAGACACATATCACAAAATTTTAACATTTTCTGTAAATTCTGTGAATCTCGGGCAGCTTGACTTGTGTGAAGTGTTTCCAGCTGCGCGTCGTGTACCTGGAGTCGAGTGTTTTAACCGAAGCATGAAACGACACATTTTTAGATACAAGTTGAAACGGCCGGCGTTTTCTTTGTATTTATTACACGGCGTGCTGCGAGGAAAAGCCTGTTCTAACGTTTGAGTCTAAGGTTTATTTTTTAGCACCTGGCGGATCTTTTTTTTTGCTTCTCACCGGTAAATACTCTTTCACATGATTCAGTTTATTTTGAAAAGTCTCAGCAGGATCTTGAGTTTTATTGTGAAAGATTTATGTAGAAAATAAACAAGTGCACACGCGATAGTTTTAGCGTCGTTGTTACTAACGACAACGCATAGAAACAGGCGCTTGTCTGTCCGTAGTGTGGTTATATTAAATATAAGAGAAAGAGAGAACTTTAAGAAATTAATATAGCCACTACAGTGACCATCAAAATAATGAAAAAATATTGCCGTAAACGGTTTATTTTGTGACACCACAAAACAAACTATAGTAAAATGAAACGATGGATGTTTTTATATCGTCATCCGATATATCGTTATATCGAACAGCCCTAGTGAAGCACTGGGAAAATGGCTACTAGTTGGTTCCTTCTGTCCGCCCCTTCCAAAAGCACTTGCTTTGTCTGCTCAGTGGCTCGGTGAGTTGTCGTAGAAGGGCATATTGATTTCATCACTGTGGGTGAGACGGCAGCGACCCCACTGTGGCTGACTGATCTCAATCAGGGATGAGACAAGCTGACAAAGTGAATTCATCATAAACTGGAATGGGAGTAGATCTTATTTTCTACCACCCTGTCCTCTGTTCTCATTATGGTGTTTCTTGCTGTGTTTTTTCAGGTGCCAAGAACCTGTACATCATCTCTGTGAAAGGCATCAAGGGGCGTCTGAACCGTCTTCCTGCTGCTGGAGTTGGTGACATGGTCATGGCCACAGTCAAGAAAGGCAAGCCAGAGCTCAGGAAGAAGGGTAAGTGGGAAACTGGTCGTCATACAGTCTTCACCAGACATGTAGGTTCTGTTTGCAGCGTTGCACACACTTTCATAAACTAATTATTAAATGTCATTTAAGCTGCTTTCCTGCAGAAGCAGTCATTTCTCAATGATAGATAACTAAACAATAAGGAGCCGTGGATCCATTAACAGTGAAGCTGGTGACTGTATTCCTCTTTGCCTGTTTAGCTTTAGTTTAGTGAAACGTGTTTGCAGGTTCTGGTTGGAGTAGCCTTCCAGCTGGAAGATCCCTAGAGCTGAGCAGGAACTACCGTCGCCATCTGCAGTCTTTAAATGTCTAAATATAAGTTGCCAGTCTCAGTTGCAGAAAGGTGTTCAAATACGGTTTTTAGTTTTTCATTTTGAGCTCAAATTAACCTTGTTCCCCTCTCCACAGTGCATCCTGCGGTGGTGATACGGCAGCGGAAGTCGTATAGACGAAAAGATGGCGTGTTTCTCTATTTTGAAGACAACGCGGGTGTCATAGTAAACAACAAAGGAGAAATGAAAGGTGGGTTTTTGAAACGTGGTGTGGCATTCATGCGCGCTGTACAGGGAGGTGATTGGTGTGTGGTCATGACAGGCGCATATTTGCCCTTCCAAAAGCACTTGCTTTGTCTGCTCAGTGGCACGGTGAGTTGTCGTAGAAGGGCATATTGATTCCATCACTGTGGGTGAGACGGCAGCGACCCCACTGTGGCTGACTGATCTCAATCAGGGATGAGACAATTTATAAATACTCAGAACAACTTTTTCTTTTAATGTATTGGTTAATGTGATGTTTGACCCAAAGTATGTGCTCCCAGTAATGGAAATAACACCACCTTATCAATTTGCCTAACTTTTATGCCTCTCCATTGTAAAATCAGTTTATTTTTTAAGCGTTTAAAATAACACAAGTATCGGGACTTATGTTCCTTTGTGTGTGTGTCTACAGGTTCTGCCATCACAGGCCCAGTGGCCAAAGAGTGTGCTGACCTGTGGCCCAGGATTGCCTCCAATGCTGGCAGCATAGCCTGAGCTGGACTCTGCACCTGTTTGTTTTCAATAAAAACTTGTTATTGAGATGTGTCTTGGTTGTTTCATTTACCTTTCGGTCCAAAATATTAAGACTATTACAGAAAAGGCTCTTATCGTTGTGATTTAATATTCATAGAGTCAAGTACATGCTCAGAACTTGTTTGGTAATATGAAGTTTATTTTTCTTTTATATTCAGTATGTACATGACTGAGAGCTGGTACTCCTTGCCGTTCCTCACATTAGATACACTAGAGCCAACAAAGCTATTGTTAACAAAAATGTCAAGACTACAGCTGTGGGGAAAAGTCTAAACTTTGAACCTGACTGGAGAATTTAAATCAAAACAAACTAACTCGTGAGGGGTGAATTTTACAGCCGACATGAGGATAGGATAGAAGCCACACAAGATTAATAAAGAGGAATACACTTCAAAATGTGTTTTTACATTGTCTAGCTGTCACCACTAACTGTGAATGAAATCTTCCCCTAGTGGACTTCTTTATAGGAGTGTGGCATTAATAGAGTTTTGAATATACAGTGGAGGTGACCTGTGAATTGGCATGTATGTGTACACCATCCTTTTTCAGTTAGTGTATAAATGTGCTTTCCTGCTCGGCCATTTTCAGTTCTGTGCTGTACTTGGACATCCCTGGCACCTCACTGCTTGGCAGATGGAAGCTACCATCTGCATAGAGCATGTTTCCTCTGTCATAGATGCCTTCATCATGCCCATGTTCCAAAGTCAATCAGTCTGAGGTACAAAGAAAAGAAAAACATTGCATTTTCCTGCACTTCACTGTGACAGTATGTCTGCATACAGTTTCAGTTGTGAAAAAGCAAGAGGTTAGTGACACAATGGACATAAAATGCCTGACAAATAAGCAGACAGTGCAAAGCTATCAAGCTGTAGAATGCACAGTTGTGGTCAGAAGTTTACATACTTGATAATTTGAGCCTTAACAATTTCTTTGAATTGTTCTTTTCCCCTGGTATAATGATTGCAGGGCATACATCTTTAATGTTTTAAAAAATATTTAGTACACAACTTTGAATTTATTTTGTTTTTTTCCTCTTATCCACACGTGGTCAAAATTATATATACAGGCTAAAATATATACACACATTTACTTTTGTCTTTCAACTTCAAGAGCTATTCTCATTATCGATCATAATTGACTTTCTCTTTACCAGCATAGAGGAAGTTATATGACAACAATCATTGAATTGACAAATATGCAGAACAACTGGAAAGTCTAAGAAAGGAGAATTACAGAGTTACACAACTTGGGAAGGTGTCTTGGAGCCATTTATAAACATCTGCAGATTCCAAGATCATCAGTTTGAACAATTTTGTGTAGGTACAAGTTGTTTGGATAAAGCGGATGAAGATGGATGGATGGATGGACAAGTTGTTTGGATGTGTCATCATCGCCAAGTTGTCGAAGAAGACCCTATCCTGCACTCAGGTGAAGAAATTGGTTGGGATATTCAGAAACAACCAAGGCTCAAGTCTGCCTGAGTCTTGGAAACTGCTATAATGTCAGTGTCACTGTACAGTAGGACAGGTTTTGGATCACTGTGGAGTTTGGAGGCTTTAAAACCTCTGCAAATATACCGACTATCGAGCATGGTGGTGGCAGTATGCTCTCAGGCTGTTTTGCTGGATACAACAGAATGTTCCAACAGGAGGGTAATACTAAACATGGATCAAAACTGGTTTAGGGCTGGATAAAGCAGACGAAGCTTCTAGAATGGCTTTGCTAATGGCTAATAACCACTAATAAACAACAGTTCATCATTACTTTAAGATATGAAAGTCATTCAGTTTGGGAAACCTGAAGTTTAAGAGATTCTTTCTGCTGCAAAGATGGGTTAGAGAAACCACAGCTCATCAAACAGCATTGCTCTAGAAATGCCCCTTTACGTCTAAATTAGTTTAAAATTGGGAGGTACAACTTTTTTTGATCGTTATAAAGCCTTCAATTAAACCAATGAATCCAATTAAACTATCAGCTACTTCAAGTTTACCTACTGGTTTATAAAATGGTTTTGATTGGATACTCGTGTCTATTCTTGGTAATGGGCTTCTTAAGAGTTTTGTTCCCACATACTAGGGCAACACATAGGTTAGTACTGCTGCCACAGAGGTGTAGAAATAAGAAAAGTGTATTTTAATTTTTTTTATCCAATCTCATGTAAAAGGAAATTTCAATGCTATTTTTTATTTTTCATAAACAACCAAATCTCATACTTAAAATGTGTGGCACAGTCGGTCTACTCTGGACTGGTTTAGGATGGTGTCATTCTAGTATTACTACTGTGTGTCAGAACTCCTGTGTCATCCATGGCAACTCAAGTTTTCCTCAAGATATTTTCAGTGTCTTTTCAAGTTTTGCTAGATGGACATTATTCTCCATTAACACAGCATACAGTCTGCTCTGAACTTCCTGGACAATCATCTATTTTTCAGGAGAATGGCCCATGCATCTGAGATAGCTTGAAATGAGTAGGAGCACAGAGTTTAAGAGAACACAGCCACCAAAAGCATTTGTGGGAACTACTTGAAGATATTTGTAAAATCTGTAGGTCTTCATGACTTCTTAATAGTGAAATTTAACAGTTTGATGTCTTCAGCAGTGTTCAACAATACAGTAAGACAAGAAAATCCATTAAATGAGCATGTGTTTACAGTAGAATTTCTTTGGCTGTGCGGTATCTCAAAAAAAATTCCTGGTCTTTACTGTATTTGATCAAAAGGCTAGAGTGTCAATTCTTCAGTCATTTTGTATGACAGCAGTTCAGGTTTGAATAAAGTAATGGACTGAGTAAGATAGGATATTAACCACTTCCTTGGGCATTTGTTTCAAGCTGTCTCAGAGTTGTGTATTCTATTTTCTTGTTTGGGTTTCTACTGTCAGTATAACTTCTTTTCCAATGGTCTTGCCAACCAGCTCCATTTCCACACTTGACACTAAACATCTCTTTGATTATTTTACAGTTTCACTTTTATTTCACCAACGCCAAACAGAAGCAGCTTAGTGGGGTTTTTTGTTTTTAAATATACAGTAGGGCTTACCCAATGCTGTAGTGGAAAAAGAGTTTAAATTTCCAGGGAGCCACCTTCACTACAAGTCAGAATTTTGGCCAAGCTATGTGAAGTTCCCATTGTGTGGACTTAAGATGTGCCATTTCCCAGAAAGAAATGGGAACCAATTTGTTTTATTTCCCAACAAGTTAACTTTAGATCTTGAATTCAGGTAGAAGAACCGACCCATATGGAAAAGAAATAGTGAAAACTTATATGATTTACTCATGAAAGTGGCCACTTTCTCATTACTTTCATACATTGTTTTAGTAAGTATCCAAAACATACAAGTTTCATTATATAATTTTTCAAGGGATCTTATATCTGTTTTCACTCTTGTATGCTTTTCAAGACAGACACAAGACAGATACAAACTTTATAAGATTTATATATAGCTTTTCCATATGGGGAAGCTGTTCTATTTGAATAATTAAGCTAGATTCTGAACAATACATTTTATGTGGTGCTCTAAAAGTTGAAGTTTAGCAGACTCATGAGTTGATTTGTACCTCAAGAGTGACTCTGCCTCTGATAAATTTATCTAACAAATTAAAATTCAAGGTATTACGTCCAGTCTGGGAATAAATGGCCTCCCTCCCTTCCCTTTGCTGTCCTTGTCGCTGGGGGCCTCAGTGCGGGTGCTCTGTGTTGGGCTGGGCTGTGGGCGCTGTTCACAGGTGGCATGGGGGTGGGTGTGCCATGTCCCATCCCGGTAGGTGCAGTAGCATACTGTTCGCTCGTCAATGTTCACACGCTCCCCTGCTGGGATCACCCTGTTCCCAGCAAAACAGTTGGGACCTATAACGACAGTTAACATTTTATTGTCGTTTCCGTCATCAAACAGTGAACGAGTTCATAGAAGAGCGTATCCTTCCTCTGTAGTCGAGGTTATCGCTTGTGAAACATGCCGGCTGTCTCTCTAATGGGACCGCACCTTTAGTCTCATTGTTTTCAAGTAGGGTTTACTTTTAAAAATAATCATAAACCTAAAGAATAAATAACTCCATTCTTGCATATTTTAAGTCTCAGATCTGTAATTACAGACAAATCTGGCTGTAGGTTATTATAGGGCTTTAACCCCAATTTGATATGGGGGTCCACTCCCAAGCTACAACCCACCAACCACCCACCTCAGCACTGTCAGTATTAGCTGTATGCTTGATGCTTTGTGAATTATTCAGTTAAAAAATATTATCATGGCTTGCTAGTGTGCTCAAAACAAACAAGCACACAGTGAAATGTTTTTTTTTCCCATTGCAACACAGGTCTAAATATTGTTGTTTTTAATTTTAATATTACCTGTTAAAATTATTGTTTTTCCTGTTTCGTTTAAATTATGTCAATTTTCTTGCATACAGCAGTTTTACTGTTGATTTACTATTTTAGTTTAAGAAGTCTCTCTTCCCAAAAGATAAATGAATGCCCTCTAATATCTCTCAGGTCTATATCATATTAAAGCAACAACAAACTCGCAGTTACAAATTATGTGGGATAGTAATTACTGACTAAATAATGCAAACAGCCTGCCTTTGATTTGCATTCCTTATTCACAGATGGGGTTCCTTTATTTGGCGGCTACCTGAGAAACAATTACTAACCCCAACCAGCAGGAGCACAGGAAGTACAGTTCATCTAATGCCAGATCTGATGGCATCCAATAAACCACAGCTGACATAAGGGAATTTGGCAGTAGTAAGGAAAGAAATAAATAAATTAAAAAAAACAGTGACGCAACAAACTGAACCATCTGTCCCGCTGTCTGTGCAGAACTGAAGCAGTAAAAATAGAAGGTTCAACTTAACTGCAACTGCCTTTAGACACCAAGAGCAAGGCAACAGCAAAGTATGTTTATGTGCATGTTCCTGTTGGGGTTTTTTTTTTTACCTTTTAACTGCTTTCCATGTCCAATTTATTCTATAATTAAGGCAACATATAAAAGCAAAGTTAATATACCCACTG